ATAAAAGACAGGCCATTACTGCAGGAAAAGGTCCCCAGACCTGAGCAGTCAAGATGTGTGACTTCACCGAGGACCAGACGGCAGAGTTTAAGAAGGCCTTGCAGCTGTTTGACAGAACAGGTGATGACAAGATCCTGTACAGCCAGTGTGGGGATGTGATGAGGGCCCTGGGCCAGAACTCCACCAATGCTGGGGAATCCCAAGAGTGATGAGATAGATGAATGTGAAGGTGCTGGATTTTGAGCACTTCCTGCCCATGCTGCAGACTGTGGCCAAGAACAAGGACCAGTGCACCTACGAAAACTATGTTGAAGGGATTCTGGTGTTTAACAAGGAAGGGAACAGCACTGTCATGGATGCTGAAATCCAGCATATCCTTGTCACACTGAGTGAAAAGATGACAGAGGAAGAAGTAGAGATGCTGGTGGCAGGCACGAGGACAGCAATGGTTGTATCAACTATGAAGAGTCCGGATGGTGCTGAATGGCTGAAGGCAGCCTTTCCTGTGTCCCCAGAGCCCTGTGCTTTTCCTGTGGGAGACTGTTATCTAGCCCTGAAGGCCTCCTTGGATATCACAGCACCTTTCCCGGATTCTCTCTCTTGGATAATGCTTTCAAGTAGCATTCACCAAATAAACTTCTTGCTGTCTGTGCTTTTTTAAAAAAAGGAAAGACATACATTAGTATGCCTTTGCATACATTTTGTGTGCCTGTGTAGTCAGTAGGTTTTAAAAGCATTGATTGCTGCTTTTGTTTTTAGGTGCCATCAAGTCTGTTCTGATTAAGAGTGACCCTATGCACAACAGAAGGAAACACTGCTTCGTCCTGCCATCATCACAATTGTTATGTTTGAGCCCATTGTTGCTACCACTTGCCAATCCATATCCTTGGGAGTTTTCCTCTTTTTCACTGACCCTCCACTACCAAGCATGATATCTTTCTGTAAGGACTGGTCTCTCCTGACACCGGGCCTAGAGTACAGAGACAGAGTTTGCCATATTTGTTTCTAATTGTACTTTCTCCAAGACAGATTTGTTCATTCTCCTAGAAGTGTCCATGGTACTTTCAGTATTCTTCTTCTACACTGTAATTCAAGTGCAACAATTCTTCTTGGTGTTCCTTATTCATGCACGACTTTCACAGGCACATGTTGCTGTTAGGAGCCATCGAGTTGGTACCGACCCATAGCGACCTTATGCACAGCAGAACGATACACTGCCCTATCCTGGCCCAACCTCACTACTGTTGGCACGCTTGAGTCCATCGATGCTGCCACTTGGCCAATCCATCTCATTGGGGGTCTTCCTCTTTTTCTGTGGCCCTCTGCCTTACCAAACATGATATCCTTCTCCAGTGACTGGTCCCTCCTGACAATATGTCCAAAGTATGAGACGAAGTTTGGCCATCCTGGCCTCCAAGGAGCACTCTGGCTGCACTTCTTCCAACACAGATCTGTTGGTTCTTTTGTCAGCCCATGGCACCTTCAATATTCTCCTCCAACACCCTAACTCAAAAGCTTCAATTCTTCTACGGTCTTCCTTATTCACTGTCTAGCTTTTGTATGCATATGAGGTTATTGAAAATACCATGGCTTGGGTCAGGCGCACCTTGGTCCTCAAGCTGACATCTTTGCATTTTTTAAAAAAAGGTGTTTTCTCTTCAACACTTTAAAAACTCTTGCAGAGTTGCCTAATGCAATACGTTGTTTGATTTCTTGACTGCTGCTTCTGTGAGTGTTCATATGTATGTCATCCTTACTTTTCGTTCATATGTATGCCATCCTTACTTTTCGTTCATATGTATGCCAAACGTAGTTTTCATGCAGTATGTTGAGTTTGTGGGTTTAGTGTGAAGTCGTTGATGCAAGCTTTAAGGCAGCTGTGAAGTAACTGTCATTTAATGGTATTTTGGTTTGTTTTTTTTTGATGTTTTTTTTTGCAAGCTCATAAGATCTGAGAAGCCAGGGGTCTGCTGCTTATTCACTCAGCCTGCTTTTGAGTCATTCAGGTACAGGGTGTGTCTGTCAATTGAAACTTTACAGCAGAGGAAGTTTTGTGTTCACATCTGCCGGAATGGGCGACCAGGGACTGGGTGGAAACTGTCTATGCAGCAGTAGGGCAGGGACAAAAGTGACCTGCCATTGCCACTCACCAAGGGAGCCTCTCAAATGATCACACTCTGAAGTAGCAGCTAAGTGAAAACCAGTAGCCTCCTTCTTTTCTAATGAAGGAGGTGGGGGTAGGGTGAGATGGGGTGCGGGGCTCAAGCCTCCAACTAGGCAACTGCAGGAGCCAGGTTGACCCAGCGGCAATTCCCCTACTGAAATTCCTGAGCTGCCAGGTCTTCTAATTTCACAGACCCCAGCAGCAGCTCACGTTCTCAAAGGCTTCATGACTGACCAGAATCATAAACATAAACACTTTGAGTCCAGTTGAATGAGAGGTACCCTCAGCCTCAATACCCTAATCGGCAGGCCATTTCACTATGAGCCTTGGAAAACCACTTTCTACCCCTCTGACCACGTTTCAGGGCAACTCCGCTAGCAGCCCCTTCCCAGCCTCTCCGACCCCGAGCACAGTAGGGGTTCGCATGCTCCAGGTTTGTATTTCCTCTCCCAGCGCAGAAGCCTTGGTTTGGAGTCTCGGATTTCTGTTCCTTTGAGGGTCGCTGGGGTGAGGAAAGAAGGTGCTCTGCGAGACGCCGAGTCGTCCTCGACACTTCGGGAGACAAGTTTCCAAAAGCTGTTCACCTCCTCCCTTCTCCAAAGCTGGAAAGAATCCTCTCCACCCCCTGGCAGCGGCTGGTGGTAGGGCCAGGGCTGTGATTTATACATTAGAAGCCAAGGGGCACCAGGCTCCGCCCCTTCTTCTTTTTTTTTTTTTTTTTTAAATTTCGGTTGCTAGTGAGGGAGGAGGGGTACTTGTTTCTTTTCTCTGGCCCAGATCTTTCCTGGACAGTGCGTCTCAGCAGTAGCCGAGACCCGGAGGCCCCCAGCTACTGGTGGAGGGCGTGGGGAGTTGAGGCATTAACTCCTCCCGATCTGTTCCTTGAAGAAGCTAACCAACCTCGGCGTTCAGCTGTTGCTCATAAGGACCATTGCGAGCTGGGCTGGCACTCGGAGTGTGTGGCTGCTGAGGGAGGGGACCCCGACTAAGTTAGCGAGAGTGCTACGCCGTCAGTCTGCTGCAGCAAGATGCCGAGAGCGCTGTGCAGACTCGGAGCTCTCCGAAAGCAACTCCGTCCAGCTTGAAAGAGGTAGGGGGCTGCGAGCGGCGCCGGCCCGGGGCGTGGGACTCCGCAGGGATGGGGAGGACAACAGTATCAGAAACGAATTTTTAAAACAGAATGAAGTCAAACACAAACTTTGAAACATACATCTCTGGGCGTTGAAAACATGTATCCCTGAGCTACTAAGGACCCCAATCCGATCGGATTGTTTTAGAACTTTTGTGATTTATGGAGTTCGAAGAAGGGTGAAGTTCCTACTGTAGAAACGATTGGGATTAAGGGGTAGAGACTGCGGTTGGTCGGAGAAGAGGGTGGAAGGTGATTATTTTTGGAAATCTTGTAGACAAAGAATATGGGGGTGGGGAAAGTGGCTTTAAACTTGCACTGCCTACAAGCGGGGTGCAGAATTCGATGGGGGAAATGAGGAACTTCTTGGCGCGAGCAGCCAGGCTCTCCTGGTCCCGGGAATTACTGGAATTGGTCTCGCCTGTTAACCCCACTTTTATCCCCACTTTTATTACCTTGACACATTCAAGCAATTTAAAAGTACAGTTCTGCTAAACAATGCTTTGTTTCGTTGTTTTCACACTTACAGTTCTATAAGTGGCAACGTGTTGGGTGGAGGAGGGCAGTCAGTAAAACTGCCCACGTTTGTTTAGCAATGCACTAGGTATATTCTGGAGAGTAGTTTTGCAGTCAAATTAGGATTGTGGGGGCAGATATTTTTGTCATTAGTAGTGTAACTTCTCTCTTTTGTGTGCGTTTGTGTGTGTGTGTGTCTTATTCTGACTGTACCCACAGTAACTGAAAATATTCCTTATGCAGTCAATTAATATTCAGAACTTCTAGTATTTATTGCAACCTCTTTCTTATGAATGATTTTCACTGAGTTCCTTTAAATATACTTAGAGTAGTGTCCCAGGAGGGGGTGTTGAGGAGGGGAATAAGCAGTTGCTTCTCAGAGGTGTTAAGCGTTCTTTCCTGTTTACCCAAGGCCTGGGCGGGCTCACTGCGTCCTTGGACCCAGGGTGGGGAACCGACCCTGCACACCTGCTCCTAGAGAGTTATTAATAGAGTACAAAGAGTGATTTACGCTGTCATGTGATTTTCGTGCACATCTCATTTCTTGCATGGCAATTAGGTGGTGCTTGTATATTTTAGCTTGGGGAAGGGGAGGCAGAGGTATGCATCTCCGGGCTCAGACTGGCTGTTGGGTCTGTTGTGAAGAGAGACCTTGAACTGGCATTGAATGCGTGACTGAGCCAGTGAACGTTTCAGAGACTCTCTGGGCTGGAAATTGGGCAATGAGGGAGTGGGAGTGGAGTCCGAATGGGCGCCCTTCTCCAACTTTCCCTTTCTGTTCCTTTTGAGTGGATGCGACCGACGAACATAGGGAGAGTTTGTCTTTTCCAGTTGGAGTTTTCATTTGGGGAAAATTTCAGTTTCTTTCCATCTCTGCCCCCCGCACCCCCCGTTTTTTTTGTTTTTTGTTGTTTTTTTGGCAAAAAGTGAAAATTTGATTTCTTTCTAAAAAATTGTTCCTTCCAAGTTTCTTTAAAACAAAACAACAATAAAACTGGAGCGATACCTTAGCTAGAATGTATTATGCCAGTGTGGTGTGGCTTGTGTTCCCTGACTATTTCTTTTTTATGACTTGTTTAAGGCTGCGGTTTCCGAAGCCAGGTCAAGCCAAGGAAAAGCAACACAGAAATCCTAGAGCTCTCTCACTGAACCAACGGGGATCTCTCGACATCGCCCTCTAGCGTTCCTCTGGAGAAGTGTCACCCCCGGATTTCTAGGGGTACAGCGAGACACCATGGGGTCCACCAGCATCCCGCTGGTCAAGGCCCTCCGCAACACAGTCTCTGACTATGTCAACTATGACATTATTATCCGGCATTACAACTACACGGGGAAGCTGAATAACAGCGCTGACAAGGAGAATGGCATTAAACTGACTTTGGTGGTGTTCATCCTCATCTGTTGCTTTATCATCCTGGAAAATATCTTTGTCTTGTTGACGATTTGGAAAACCAAGAAATTCCACCGACCCATGTACTATTTTATTGGTAACTTGGCTCTCTCAGACCTGTTGGCAGGAGTGGCCTACGTAGCCAACTTGCTCTTGTCTGGAGCCACCACCTACAAGCTCACCCCTGCCCAGTGGTTTCTGCGGGAAGGGAGCATGTTCGTGGCCCTGTCTGCCTCGGTGTTCAGCTTGCTAGCTATCGCGATTGAGCGCTACATCACCATGCTAAAGATGAAGCTCCACAATGGCAGCAACAGCTTCCGCTCCTTCCTATTGATCAGTGCCTGTTGGGTCATCTCTCTCATCCTGGGCGGGTTGCCCATCATGGGCTGGAACTGCCTAGGCACGCTGCCCAGCTGCTCCACTGTGCTGCCACTCTACCACAAGCACTATATCCTCTTCTGCACCACAGTCTTCACTCTACTCCTGCTTTCCATCGTCATCCTATACTGCAGGATCTACTCCTTGGTGAGGACTCGGAGCCGTCGTCTGACCTTTCGAAAGAATATTTCCAAGGCCACCCGCAGCTCTGAGAAGTCACTAGCACTGCTCAAGACAGTGATTATCGTCCTGAGTGTGTTCATTGCTTGTTGGGCACCGCTCTTCATCCTGCTTCTGCTAGACGTGGGTTGCAAGGTGAAGACCTGCAACATCCTCTTCAGAGCTGAGTACTTCCTGGTGTTGGCTGTGCTCAACTCTGGCACCAACCCCATCATTTACACTCTGACCAACAAGGAGATGCGCAGGGCCTTTGTCAAGATCATGTCCTGCTGCAAGTGTCCCAGTGGAGACTCTAGTGGTAAATTCAAGCGACCTATCATTGCTGGTGTGGAATTCAGCCGCAGTAAGTCCGACAACTCCTCCCACCCCCAGAAGGACGATGGGGACAACCCAGAGACCATTATGTCCTCTGGAAATGTCAACTCTTCTTCTTAAAACTGAAAGCTGCCAACCCATGGGGAGTGCTCTTACATGGCCACCACCCCAGAGTATGGAAAATTTCTCTGGGTCTCAACTGCTACCTGGGAGGAGCGGCGGCTGCAAGCCAGAGGAAGGGAGGGAGAGAGTAAGAGAAGCCTGGTGGTGCCAGGTGTTGGGGGTAGAGCTAGTTCCTGTGAACAATGCACTGGAAGGGTGGAGATCAGGTCCTGGCCTGAAATATATTTCCTCCCCTCTGGAGCTTTGCTTTTGCACTGAGCCAAAGGTCTAGCATTGTCGGGCTCCTGTCGTGTTCATCTGACCCTCCTCAAAGACTAATGTCCCCATGTGAACGTGTTTCTTTGTCTGGAATTTTGAGAAGATATTTTCTCTCACTTTAGGTTAAATCCAAACGAGTTTGTGCACTTCTGCTTCTCTACGAATGCTCTGCATATCCCGTTCTCCATTCCCTTTCACACTCCTCCTCAAAGATCTTTTACTTTATAGGGTTCACTATCTGGCATTCATCATAGCCAGGGTGGTGGCATGGCCCTTTTTTTGGTCATCTGTAGCAGTTGGTCTGGATGGAGTAGGTTGGCTGTGCTGAGTCGGAGATGGTTTAGAGATAATAAAACAATTTCGTTTGCTGAGGCCAAAGTTTCCATGTAAGCTAGATCAGTGTTTTGGAATTTGGTTGCAGTCACTTTGAGGTTTTTTCTGTTTTTGTTTTAGATTTTTACAATGAAATAAATGTGTAACAGCATCACACTTATTGTGGCTGAGTCTGTATAAGGAAAGCCACTTTATCTAGATGGTATCAGCCAGAATCCTTAGTGTCATAAAGGAAGCAAATAAAACAAGGTGGAAACTGACTGGGTTTTGAGTTTCATAAACCAACAGAGTCCTTCATGAATTTGTCTAACAAATGCAACATCTGACTTTGGCACTTTTCTTGATGTTTATTTCAGAGTGTTGTGTGATTTATCTCAACCAGCGGTGTGGTTGTGTTAAAAATACTTTTTATGATTTTTTTGAATGTATTTGTTTCAGCAAAGATAATTTTATTGGATTTTTCTAACCTATGTTAACACCATTGAATGCATATCTCATATGAAAATACCACTTTCTTGTGCCCTTAAAGCATTACTTTAACTGATAGGGAACACCAGATGTTTTTCAATACAGTGTAAATTAGATAGTTAATTGAAGAGGTGTATAAATGTTACAAAGAACAAAAATATATTGCTGTCTATTTAGTATGGTTTTCAGTGCAATTAAACCGAGAAATGTATTGTTTTTGTTTCTTAAATAGTATTTAATAGGTTTCTGACTTTTGTGAATCATTTTGCACATAGCTTTATAAACTTTTAAACATTAATAAACTGATTTTGTAAAAGATCCCTTTGTGAAGAGCATTTTTAAAAATAATTATTGAGACACTATGTGTTTTTTGGGATCAAAAAGTTAAAGGGAAAAAAAAATCTTATTCTTTAAAGGGTAAACTAGGGTGTGAAAAAAAAATGTGGTTTGTTTAGAAACCACCCAATCTTCTTCAGGAAGAGAAACTTAAATAAGTTAACCTTGAAGAGTAGTAAAGAATGAGATAAAAACCACCAACTTTTAAAATACCACATTGGCAAGCAAGTATAATTGTCTGAGTTTTAAATTGCTTGTATTCAAGTCTAACTAAACCAAGCACAGCAATTATGCTCTAAAACATGGGTTTTTATAGGAATGCTATACGACAATGTGATTGTAAATCAAACAGGTATGTGATTCAATGATCAGTTCAAATCCATCAACAAAAGTTTACATGGCTGGCCTTTTTACCAACATACTAGAAAAGGGTGAGTTTGGATATGGGAAGTAACAGTAAATAACTTAATTGTTTTCAGAATAAAGTCTGGAGTTCTCCTAGTCTACACTTTGAACAATACAGATGTGTATAATATCAATGAGGTAGCAGACTGTAGAATGCAGATTGAGTAGCATAGTACCTTTTATCTGAACACTTGCAATTCTTATTATCTGAAAGCTTTAATGTCTTTAAACTTTAATTTCTCTAACTATAATATGAGAGCAAGGGCATTTTGTAAGTTATATCGATCCTATTTAATGTTGTCTTCATTGAATATTTAATTGGTTTGTACTTTCAGCTCTCCAGTCCTATTGTTACTTTCAGAATTGTACTTTCAAATGTCATTGACTCTGTACAGGACACAGTTGGGACATGAAGATAAACCTCACCTAATAGAGTAGATGTCATTTCTGGGTAAGGTTAACTGTGGGAAACAGGAGTGTGTTCACTAAGGAAACCTTAGGTCACAACCTCCAGTTTCCTGAAGGAAATGCCAAAAATGCTCAGAAGACAAAAGACTGGAAACAAACTGGAATGTCTCTATCCATCTGTCTGGTGAGGCGGAAGGAATGATTTCATGCTCGACTCACTTCCTAGAGCTTTCATTACAGAGTCAAGGGTAGTGGAAAAGTGTGTCCATTTTCAGTAACTATGGAAGTACAAAGTATCTGCAAGTACAGTGGTGACTCAGGAGAGATGGGAAAGATGAAAACAGGCGTAACTCTGGTGGGGAATGGGCAGCTCATACGTGAGATGGAGGAGAGTCTCATTTGCTCATCTGTGATTAGATGTGCCTACTTCCAGAAAGCTCTAAACAGCCTATTTCATTCCAAAAGAGCTGGACAGTCATGGTCTATGGTTTTCCTGGGCAAATGTGTGGCAGAGCCCAAGTTCTTGCCAAGAAAAAGGCTAGGATGAAGGAGTCCTTGGTTATGTCCCAAAGAGAATATCTGGTTTTAATTTCTCATTTAAATATCTCAGTAACTGTATGCGTATATTAAAATAGAGACATCTAAAGCTTTTATTAAAAACATATACAGAGGGATGAAACAGATAATCATGCAACTGCGACGTATTTTTTGTAAAAATGCCAACTGGCTCATAAAAAATATTAAGAAAAGTAGTTATAAAAATACATCAAATAATACTTTATTCACAACAAATTTAAAATTAAGTGCATTTTAATAGAAAATTAAAAATCTTATATAAGGTAAATGCTTCTTGCTTTCTAGTGTAATAATTAGAAATTTCGTTCTTTAATATAAGTTGGCCTATGGTATTGATGCTGTTCTTAACTGCCATTGAGTCAGTTCCAACACAGAGCAACTTTGTATAAGGTTTTCAAAAGCTTTAAGTCTTCATGGGAGCAGAAAGTCCCATCTTTTTCCTGAGGAATGGCCAGAGGGCTCAAACCGTAGACCTTGTCGTTCACAGTCCAGTGCTTATTGTCACCGTGCTCCCATTATATGGTTAGAGATTAAAATTTTATAGTAATGGGAAATTTGCATTCATGTTAATTAGATAGATGACTTTATTTTAGCAATACCAACATTTAAGTGGTGGTTTGTGCCATATCTAATTTTTTTCCTCAACGTGAAAGTTTTCATAATAAAGATTCAAATTTTACTTATTTTCAAATTGAATTAATTTCTAATATATTCTGTTTTCTTTTCAGTTGTGTTCTTGAAACTCCTAAATCATAACAGAAAACAAGGAAGCCTAGCAAAATTAATGACTTTTACTGCAATACATTGCTGAGGTCTGTCACTTTTTATGGACAACTAGAAACACATTTGTGTTTGGGAGCTACTATCTTGAAAAAGCAATTTCAGAAATGTGGCTAGTGCTACTGGGGTTTGTTGTTATTGTTATTGGTAGGTGCCATGGAGTCAGTGCCCACTCATAGTGACCTTATGCACAGCAGAACGAAACACTGCCCTATCCTGGGCCAGCCTCACTACTGTTGCCACACTTGAGCCCGTTGATGCTGCCACTTGGTTAATCCATCTCGTTGTGGGTCTCATCTTTTTCTCTGACCCTCCACCTTACCAAACATGATATCCTTCTTCAGAGATTGGTCCCTCCTGACATGTCCAAAGTATGAGAGACGAAGTTTGGCCATCTTGGCCTCCAAGGAGCACTCTGGTTGCACTTCTTCCAACACAGATCTTTCATTTCTATGGGCAGCCCATGGCAGTTTCAGTATTCTCCTCAAACACCATAACTCAAAAGCATTAATTCTTCTATGGTCTTTCTTATTTACTGTCCAACTTTCACATGTATATGAGGTTATTGAAAATACCATGGTCTGGGTCAGGCACACCTTAGTCCTCAAGCTGACATCTTTGCTTTTCAACACTTTAAAAAAGGTCTTGTGTAACAGATTTGCCTAATGGAATACATCCTTTGATTTTTTGACTGCTGCTTCCTTGAGTGTTGATAGTTGATCCAAGAAGAATGAAGTCCTTGACAACTTCAATCTTTTCTCCTTTGATAAGAATGTTGTTTATTGGTCCAGTGGTGAGGATTTTTGTTTTCTTTACATTGAGATGCAATCCATACCGAAGGCTGCGCTCTTTGATCTTCATCAGTAAGTATTTTAAGTCCTCTTCACTTTCAGCAAGCAAGGTTGTATCATCTGTATATCGTAGGTTGTTAACAAGTCTTCCTCCAATCATGATGACACGTTTTTCTTCGTATAACCCAGCTTCTCGGATTATTTGCTCAGCATACAGGTTGAATAAGTATGGTGAAAAAATGCAAACCTGTAGTACTTCGGTCTTAATTTTAAACCATCCAGTTTTCCCCTGCTCTGTTCGAACAAGTGTCTTTCTTGGTCCATGTACAGATTCCTCATGAGCACAATTAAGTGTTCTGGAATACTCATAGTTCGCAATATTGTCCATAGTGTGTCATGATCCACACAATCAAAAGCCTTTGCATAATCAATAAAGCATAGGTAAACATCTTTCTGATATTCTCTTCTTTCAGCCAAGATCCATCTGATGTCAGCAATGATATCCCTTGTTCCACAGCCTCTTCTGAATCCGGCTTGAACCTCTGGAAGTTCTCTGTCAATGTATGATTGTAGCTGTTTCTGTATTACTTTTAGTAAAACTTTACTTCACATGGGATATCAAAGAGATTGTCCGATGATTTC